ATTGAGTTCCTTGTAGATCCAAGATGTTAAGCCTTTGTCAGACCTGGAGTTGGCAAATACTTTTTCCCAGTCTGTAGGCTGTCTCCCTGCTCTCTTGATGGTTTCTTTGGCTTTGCAGAAGCTTGTCAGTTTAATGAAGTCCCACTTGTCTATCTTATCTCTTATGGCCTATGGGTTTCGGGTTTTGTTCAGGAATTAGATGCCAGTTCCAACTTCCATGAGGGTATGTCCTTCATTTTCTAAGGTTTTCATGGTTTGAAGTTTTACATTTAGGCCTCTGATCCATTTGGAGTTAATTTTTGTGTATGGGAATAGATAGGGGTCCTGTTTCAATCTTCTGCATGTGGTCAGCCAGTTTTCCCAGCACCATTTGCCATCTATGAGAAACCCACAGCCAGCATACTCCTAAATGGACAAAAATTGGAACATTTCCCCTGAAAACTGGAACAAGACAAGGATGCCCACTCTCACCCCTCCTGTTCAATATAGTATTGGAAGTCCTGGCTAGAGCAATTAGAGAAGAGAAGGCAATCAGGGGTATTCAAATAGGAAAAGAGGAAGTCAAATTATCTGTCTTTGCAGATGACATGATTGTGTACCTTGAAAACCCAAGAGAATCTGTCAAAAACCTCCTTACACTGATAAAGGCCTTTGGCAAAACCATCTTCTTACTGTGCTTCCCTGAGGGCATTCTCCTCGGACAGGGCACAAATGTTTCAAGCTGCCTCCGCTGCCTTCACTCCTCTGTTAAACAGAAGAGAATGTCTCAAGATTCGTTTTTCCCACTTGACAGTCCATCTTCTTTAGCCCACAAATAGCACTAACTGTCTTGAAATCTGCAAAATGCAAGGTGTATTCACAAGTACAACATTGTCACTCCAAATGACAAATGTCAAACAAAAAACTCCCAATGCTGCAGTGTGCCATGCCAAAAACAAGCGTTACAACCTTATACATCAACCTAATATAACTGAATTTCCTACGAAGCCCATAACTTGCTTTCTTTACCTCCTCCCCTCCTTCCAGATTTCTGTCTGGTTGTCAGCATCCACTAACCAGCTATTTGAGAGCAGAAAAGATGATGGAAGATGGCTGCGAGCAGCAGCAGATGTTTCCTTGGGTGTACATTATTCATTAGAGTGTACAAAAGAAGAGCCATTGGGTCTGTCCTACAAGCCTGTCTGGGTCATGGGAACCCTATGGAAGAGATGGGCTTTAGGGTTCAACATGAAGACACAGGTGACTGCTCCTTTGCAGTTCATGCTTTTCACATGCAGAAGGGCTTGCTTCTCACCCCTCAAAGGAGCTTATACTCATTCCACAGAAATATAAAGAATTCACTGGCATTCACTCATGCAAAGATTTTTGAGTCCTGCCTGAAATCATTAGGCTGCATTTGATTACAGAAATATGAACTTTTATTAAAAATAAATGTTTGCAGTTTTAGATGGAAATTCCCACAACCCCCAAATGGCAAGAGCTGCCAAAACAAAAACAAGAACAATGCATCAAAGCATAGGTAGTGTGATTATCAATATGCTGCCCAAATTATGTTATGTAATAGTTCAGATTTCCAGAACTGTGTACATTCTGGAAGCCAAATAGGAAGGCTGGGAGATGCCAAGAAGGGGGCATTTAAGATAGTCAAGAATCTGCAAACCATTTCATATTAAGTTAGGATGAACTTGATGAGAATGTTTGCTCAGGGAGGGAACACTTCATCTGTTTCAAAAGCCTGTGAGGGGGAGAGTTTGCCAATTCTTGAGGTCAGAAGTAGACACAAGTGGGAACTACAGGAAAAGAAACTTTGGCTCAATATGTCAAAGAATTTTAAGAGAATTCAACTATTCAGTGAGCCTCATTGGGAAATGGTGAGATGTCCATCTCTGAAAAACTTTAAATCTAACTGAAAATATCTAAACTTGCAGCTTGAGGCCCCTGGCCTGTTTTTACATTCTGAGAGCTCAGGATGGCTTCTATCTACTTAAAGAGTTAGAAGCAAAGCACATGAACAGAAAACCAGTAGTGTTTGACAAGGACCATATGTGGTTCACAGGTCCTAAAATATTTCCTATCTGG